CCTCTCAGAGCCAGGGAGAGAACCCAGGAGTCCTGGCTCCCAGCCCCTCCCCTGCTCTAACCACTAGACCCCACGCCCAGCCCTGGGAGAAGAACCCAGGAGTCCTGGCTTCTCGCCTCAGCCTCCACTGTGGCCGCAGCCATGCATGGGAATGTTGCTGCGTGATACACACAGCCACACACACACCCCCTCCCCGGCTCACCATAGCCACGCCCACCCCGCTATCCGCCCCGCCCCTTTCCCTGGGTGGGGCGGAGCTAAAGGGCCGCGCGGGGCTGCGAACGCTGGCTCTTTAAAAGCCCTCCACGCGGGCCCGGCCCGCCGCAGGAGCCGGGGCCCGAGGAGGAGACGATGCCCTCCGATCTGCTCACCCCCTTTGCGGAGCTGGACGATCCGCTGTGCCAGGTGGGGCCTGGGGGGTTCTCTGCACCTCCCTCCTGTTTTCCCGCCATGCTGCTCCGATGGGCTTTTGTTACCCCCCCTCCCCTCCAGTGCCGGGGGGGGGGGATCTCCGGCTTGGGGGGGCCAGGCCCCCTGAAGCAAGAAAGTCCCCCCCCAAGAAAGTCTCCGCTGGCTTAGTTACGGTGTAGTCTGATCTGGTTCTCCATGTGCTCCCGGCTGCTCGGGGGGGGGGGGCTGCTCGTGTGTGAGTTGGTGCCACGCTTCCCCCCCCGCCTCTTCTTCCAGGCCCCCCCCTCCCTGTGAACTCCACTGCTGGCTGGAAGCGCTTTCTCGCCTTGCCTCGATTTCCCCTCCCCCGGTTGGACTGCAATGGAAAGACGTGACCAGGCGGCCGCTTCGCTTTGCTTTCGGTTTTATGGTGTGGGTCACTGGGCTGGCTGCTCCTTCCGGGGGGGGGGAGAGGAGGATTGGCCCCAGCATGAGGGGCGAGAAAGGGTGCCGAGTTTTGTAAAAAGTCACCTAGGTGTCCAGGCAGCAAGGGGATTTAGTTGGGGATTGGTCCTGCTTTGAGCAGGGGGTTGGACTAGATACCTCCTGAGGTCCCTTCCAACCCTGATCTTCTATGATTTCAAGCTGGATGGGTGCTGGAAACAGGGGTGTGCCCCCCCCCGCTTCAGTGCAGGGTTTGCAGCTTGGATCAATGGCTCTCTGCCTCCCCCAAATTGTCCCAGCACCCCCTACCTGTGGCACTGTTGCAGCTGCCCAGAGCTGGGATGGTTTTTTGGGGGGGGGGGGGGGGGCTCTTTCCCCCCCAATCTGCCTGCTGGAGGCTGGGCCCTCAGCGGGTCTCACTTCAAATAGGACACCCGCTAGGGATCAGAGAGTCACACCCACCCCATCCCTTCTGGCTTTCCCCTGGCTTCTGGGGTGCAGTAGACCACCAAGGCAGGCCCCTCGGCTCAGAGCAGTGGAGTTTTGTAGCCCGCAGGCATTCTGCTTGGGGCGGGGTGGGGGTGGGGGATATAAAACACCCAAGTGGTTTATTAAACGCCCAGTGTGAAACTGGAGCGCAAAGCAACATTAAGAGGCTCCGGGACAGAGCCAGGCTGGGACTGGCTCCTGCTAGGAACTTCAGCCGTGTGGGCCAGACGTGTGTTCGCTGCAAGGTTTCAACCTGGGGGAGCCGGGAAAGTAGGAACCGCTTTCTCCTCCTGGGCGGTGGTGGCGTGTCCTGGTGTTTCTGGAGCATGGGAACTGGCTGACGTGGTGGGGGCCCCCTTTGTTCAAACCATGTCCCTGCTGGGACCCGGAACTAAGCCCAGCGCGGGGGCAAGTGGGCCTACTGACTTCAATCGGGGCCATGCCTGGAAAGGTGAGCTGGCATCGGGCCGCCCGTCTGGACGAAGCCCTGGTAGAAGCCAGGTTCTGTACACCCTGTCCCCCCCAAGGGCCTGGTGCCCGTCTCGGCTGCCTAGAGCGCTCCCTAAAAGGTGGATCTGCTTGTATGACGTGCGATATGATAGCGGCTAAAGGCCCCGGTGCACAGCCCCTGAAAAGGTCACCGTCTCGGGCCTGTTACACCAGTACATCTCCAGCGGTGGGTGCTCTCCTACTGGAGAGGTGGTGTAAATCTGAACCAAATTTTAGATACAGGATGGTTGGGGAAACTGAGGCACGGGGGGGGAACGACACTTGCCCAAAGTGGCCCTGGCAGCAGATCTGAGAATAGAACCCAGGTGTCCTGAGTCCTTGTCTGGCATCCTCCCCTGCTCCACTCCAGTGCCTGCATTAATGCTTCATTAGCTAGGAGCACTGTTGGGGGGGAGCCCTCCTCCGCCCCCCCACATGTCCCCTAGATGTCCAATCTTCCCACCCACCCTGGATGGGGGAGCAGCTCCTTGTTGCACCTCTAGTCAATGAGCCTTCCCAGCCCTGTCGGGAGCCACAATCTACGGTCCTGCAGGCCCCAGACGGGGTAATTGGCTAATTGCATGAGCCGGGCAGTCCAGACGGAGCCCCTGCAGACGTCTGAGCCGGAGGCGCATGGCTTAGCTCCCTCTCCCAGGCCTTAATCAGCTGGGGCAAGTGCGCCGCGACCTCCTGGTGTGGCTCCCGGGCCAGAGCTGTCAGATCTGACCCCTAAACTGTTTGGCTGCTAAGGTCTCTGTGTGGCTGGCTCCCTGCCACAAACCAGGGCCTGCTGAGAGCAGCTGTGGGGCAAGAACCCCCCCCCATTTCAAAACCCCTTGGAAATCCCTGCCGGCGGCTTAGGGGGTCTAGGAAACACAGTTGCACCCTTCTGATTCCATCCAGCAGAGGGCAGCATGCTCGCCTCCTCCCATGCCCTGCGAGGACCCCCCACTGTCTGTAAAGCGTCCCTGCTGTGAAGGTGGGGAAACAGAGGCACGGAGAGGGAGGGGAGTGGCTTGCCTTGTGTGAGGTGGGGGGGGGCAGGGCATGGAACCCAGGAGTCCTAACACTGCTTCCAGGCCTGTGCTCTAACCACTAGGCCATCCATCCTTCTGCTTCACAGCTCACCAAGGAAGCACAAACTAGTGGGTGGCACACTGTTGGGGGGGCCCCCCCCCAATCAACAGGGTTTTCTGGCTGCTGATGCTTAGGACGTTGCCTGAGGTTTGGCTTTGTTATTCACCGCCGCAGCTGTAGGACCTCCCTTGGCCTGGCGTGTGAGGCTCAGCCAGGGGCCGTCTGTTCTGTTTTTTGGCGGGGGGCAGGGTTTCTCCCCTTCAGCTCCGCCTGTTTCTGCTGATGGCCGTCCCCAGCCTCGCAGCTGGCGGTGTGTGGACCGAACGGGGCTGCTGGCTTGCCTCCTCTAAGCGACTCCCCCCTCCTCTGCCCTTACAGGCCTTCCTGAGGCTGAACGTGGGGGAGGAGCCTGGCCTCGCGGCAAGATGCCCGGTGGGATACCAGCGCGCCTTCTCCGCCAGCCCGGCGGCACCGTCCGGCAGCGCTGAGCCCCTGGAGGATGGCGTCGGCGCCTCCGATGCCCACTGGTCTCTCCCCGGCCAGTGGGGCTGGGCCCCGGTGCTGCCCCGCACCAGCCTCCAGCGCATCCCGTTCCGGGCGGAGCGCTCGGCCAGCGTGATCGAGGGCTGCCGGGAGGGGGCGGCGGCCGCCTCGTCCCGCTACAAGACGGAGCTGTGCCGTACCTACGAGGAGAGCGGGGTCTGCAAGTACGGGGCCAAGTGCCAGTTTGCCCACGGGGCCGGGGAGCTGCGGGGCCTGAGCCGTCACCCCAAGTACAAGACGGAGCTGTGCCGGACCTTCCACACGGCCGGCTTCTGCCCCTATGGCTCCCGCTGCCACTTCATCCACAACGCCGAGGAGCAGCGCCAGCCCCCGCGCCTGGGGGGCCGCTCCCCCTCCTTCTCCCGCAGCGCCTCCCTGTCGCCCTCCGCCTCGCCGCCCGCCCCCGGGCCCTGCTGCTGCCGCCACCCCGCCGGGGAGCCCCCCTGTTTGGCCTTTCCGGCCACCGTCGCGCTGGGCCAGGACGGAGCAGGGGGTGCCCCGGCTGTCCCCGATGCCTTCGCCTTCCCCGGGCAGCTGTCTCTGCAGAGGAGCCCTTCCTCCGACTCCCTCTCGGATCAGGAGGAATCGGGAGGCAGCAGCGGGTCGGAGTCACCGGGACTGGGGCCCAGCGGGCGCCGGCTCCCCATCTTCAGTCGCTTGTCCGTCTCCGACTAGCAGGTGTGCGGCGAACCGCCAGCCTGGGCCCTGCCCCCACCCCTCTGCCGGGGCTCGCGCTTAAATCGCTGCCTCTCCGCCTAGAGGCTGGGGCCGGTGGGGTGGGGAGGTACCGTATCGGGTCAGAGCTGAAGGGGTTAATCGGTTCCAGGGTTGAGTGTGTTGGGGCAAAAACCTCAGCCCTGCCCCACTCTGGGATCATGTGATCAATAACCCATGGGGCAGATCTTCTCCTTCTGGTGTAAATCTGGGCTCACTCCATTCCACTCCCATTGGAGTCTGACCCCCGTATTGCAGAAGGGGAGAGGAGAACTAGGCCTGGGAAGGGGGGGGTGCTTCCTCCCCCCTCCTCCCCAATCCCACATGCCTCATACCATTGCTTATACCAGTGCATGTTGCTGCTGGATGGGACCGGGGATGGAGTCTGGTAAACAACCGTGCAAGGAGGAAAAACCTCTCCCCGGCTTTCAGTGGTGAACACAGTCTGGGCTGTTCTTGCTTGGGGACAGGGGGAGGCCGAGACATCCCGAGACCTCCTGACCTCCACCTCTCTGCAGCCTGGGTCTGTGGGTGGATTCTGAGTCAGGTCTCCTGACCTAGAGGCCACTGCTGGAAACTCAGATGCATGACCGTGTGTCTTCCAAAACAAACAAAAAAAGGAAAGTAACACAACTAGCCAAGGGGGGGTGTGTGTGTGTGTGTGTGTGTGTGTGTGTGTGTGTGTGATACTGCTTGCTCTGCAGGGCCGGTGCTTCCACTAGGCAACCATAGGCAGTTGCCGGGGGCAGCATTTTGCCGTCCTCGGCGGCTGGGGGTCCTTCCACTCTGGGTCTTCGGCGGAAATTCGGCGGCGGGTCCTTCACTCGCTCTGGGACCCGCCGCCGAAGTGCCCCAAAGACACGGAGCGGAAGGACCCCCGCCGCCGAATGCTCTGAGGAGGAGCGCTGCGGCCTAGGGCGGCAAAAACCCTGGCGCCGCTTCTGCTGCTCTGCCTCTCGTGTGGGTATTTCCACCGGAGCCAGACGCTGCTGTGAGCTGCGGAGCTGGTGTGCACCGGTAGCTCCTTTTGTAAGCTTTTGGGGAGCCTCTGGGGCCCAGGCTTTGGGCCAGCGCAGGAGGGTGGATGTGAAGTGAAATGGACGAGGTGCTGAAACTGAAACTGACGAGCCTCCTGTCTCAGAGCGGCCTGGGGCAGGGGAGGCGAGGAACAGAAAAGAAACCGCTTTCCGCTTCTCATTCCCTCGGGGCGGGCTGCTGGCGGTAGGAGGGTTCTAGTTTTAAACAGATCGTGACCTCTACCCGAGAGCCCTTCGGAGTGTCGTGAACAAGCTGTGTGGCCTTGCTAGCCGCCCATTGCAGCTGGCGTGTGCCCACTGGGTGCTACTCTCCCTCAGGCTCAAATACCCAAGTGCTATTGATATCTCGGAGGGGTTGGTTGCCACCACACGTGGCTTGATGTGACTTAAACTTGCGGGTCAAACTCCATACAGCCTGGCTGGGGCGGCAGGCTGACTCTCATCTTGCCAGCAGGGGGTGCTAGGTTCCAGCAAGGGGAAGAGGGTGATTGGATCCTTCCCCCCCTTTGGTGTCCAGATAGAAGTAAACTGGGATGTGGTCCCCTCCTCTCCTCCCTCACTCATGACATCCCAAGTTAGGAGGCCATGTCCTGAGTCGTCCATTCTAAAAACCCAAATGGGCTCCAGATTTTTCTTCCCCCATCCCAACCCCCTCATGTTTCAGAACCATCTGCTCTTCTCTGCCCCTCCTCGCTGGGCTGGGAATGGAGCAGTGTTATGTCACAGTCCCTCCCTATAGGTAGGATGGAACCTAAACCTCTTCAGTTATTTTGAAGAAAGCCGCTAATCTTTCAAAGCTAGAAGGCTTCCTCTGCTAGGATAGCGTCGCTGGGCTAGTAGCTAAGGCAAGGAGTTTCCAAAGATGCCTTGGGGGTGGATTTGGCGATCCCACTCCAGTGGGAATAGTCTGTTTTCCACACAACTGATCAGACCTGTGCATCTAAGGGCTACTTTGTGTGAGGGGGTGGAAATTGACAGAATTTCTCCCTGTGCAGATGGTCTAGTCTGGAATAATTCATGGGCTTCTTCATGAAACAGTTCTGGAATAAAATTTGCTCTGAAATGGAGCAGGGACATAAGGAGTAATTCTGCAAGAGTTATTCCAGTCAATAGCCACCTCACCAGACCAGCCCTTGGTCAAAAATTTAGGTTTGAAAAGCCTCAATCTGTGTTTTGTTTTTGTTTTAAATTATATTTTAAACTATTTATTGTCTTTTTAAAAAATCCTATTTCTGATATTTGGAACCGAATCTTTTTAGAGGAGCATAAACTTATTTTAGTTTGTTTATCCTGCGCGCTGAAATTTCAGGACCAGCGCCTGCCTTAAGTCTCTGACTAATCATGCTGAATCTAACTTATTGCGAAATTGGTTTCTTGTTTATTTATAGTGGTTTCACTCTGCTTTTTTATAGATCTATAAAATTAATATAATGGGTGATTATTTTTTTTATGGATTGTATCTATTTCCTGACTGTAATAAAACTGTCTTTTTGTGCATCTGGGTCTCTGCTTAATCTTTTAAGCTGAAGGCTGGCTTTGTTTTGTAACGACTGTTTAGTATCACGGTAGCACTTACAGAGGAAGAATAATACCAAACTAGGCCCTGATCTTGCACGTGTTTAACTTCAAGCTTCTGGCACCAAGCCCGTGTCGAACTTTAAGCAAGTGTGTTAGAAGTTCAGCAAATCCCTGACTCCTAGGTTCCACCGACTGCACTGTTGCTTAAAATCTCTCGTAGCGCTCTCTGATTGAGCAAAGACATTGTATGTGAAGATGGTGAAACTCCCTGTCGGTGGCTGGCGCCCTGGGACTGGGACTTTGGAGACCTGGGCTGTGCTCCTAGTTCTGCCACTGGCCCTGCTGGGTGACCCTTGGGCAGGGCAAGTCACCACTCTGCCTCAGTTTCCCCACCTGTCCAATGGAGATGCCGATACTGCCCTCCTTTGTAAAGCACTTTCAGATCTGCTCTGAAGTGCTAGGAGTTAACAGTGAGGATGTGGCCCCATGTTGAAAACCCTCTTTTTAAAAAAAAAAAAAAATCTTGTTTTGGGGGGTTCACCCTGAAATTTTACAGTTTCAACAGACTTTCTTGGGGGCACATGTCTTTCTCCCCCCGACAAGCAATGGACTTAATTCCGGAGTGGGGGAGGTTTTCAAAGCAGGAGTAAAGTGTTTTCTTGGACGGATGGCCTCCCATGTTCTAGAATTTCCCCTGATTTAAAAACCGTGGCCGTTCAGTCCACGGTGGGACTAAAGCAATCCCCAGTATGGCTGTAACGGGGTGAGGCCGCTGCCCCGTCACACACACCATGTGCTGCGTTCTTTGTCTTGGGTACCCATCCGGTGCCCTGGTACATCCCAATCTCTACCCACCCCTTATCCTCACAACCCCACCGCGAGCTAGAGCAGGCCTGCTAGTCCTGTTTTCTCTCCAAGCGATGTCTCCGACACGCGCGTTATTGATCCTTCTCCTTTAGCCACGGGCCCGGCTGATGCTATTTCCGATGGAACCGGCTTCCCTGCCCCGCCCCCTGGTTTGGCCGGAATCCTGGCCAAGAGCACAAGCGTTCGAATCAAGTTGCTCTGCGATCAACCAGCAATGTGGCCACAGAAAGATAAGAAAGATCAGACCAGTTTTGCCCAGTCTCCTGTCTCTGCCAGGGGTTCAGGGGGAGTGTACAGAACAAGGCAATTAAGGCGTGACCCACCCCTGTCTTACCCTCCTGGTGGTGGGAGGTTATGGGTCACTCTGAGCAGGGGATTGTCCCTGACCATCTTGGCTAATAGCTATTGATGGACCTATCCTCCAGGAACTTCTCCAGTGTTTCTTTGGGGGGTCGGGGTTGTTTTTTTTAACCCAGTCCTACTTTTGGCCATCACAACATCCTATGGCAATGAGTTCCACGGGTTAGTTGTGCAGTGTGTGGGGAAATTACTTCCCCTTGTTTGTATTAAAGCTGTTGCCTATTAGGTGAACCCTGGTTTTTGTACTGTGACAGAGTAGCACTCCCCCCCCCCCCCCCCCCCCACACCCCCCCTGTTATTTTATAGACCTCTATCATCTTCCCTCCTTAGTCATCTCGTTTCCCAGCTGAATAGCCTTGATCTCTGTAGCCTCTCCTCGCAGGGCAGCTGTTCCAGACCCTTAATCATTTATAATAAAAAAAAAAAAAATTAATGGAGATATCCCATCTCCTAGAATTGGAAGGGACCTTGAAAGGTCATTGAGTCCAGCCCCCTGCCTTCACCAGCAGGACCAAGTACTGATTTTGCCCCAGATCCCCAAGTGGCCCCCTCAAGGATTGAACTCACAACCCTGGATTTAGCAGGCCACTGCTCAAACCACTGAGCTATCCCTCCCCCTCTTTGTTGCCCTTCTCTCAACCTTTTTCCAGTCCCGCTGTATCATTTTTTTTTTTTTTTGATGGACTCACTTCAAGGTGTGGGTGCACTAGGAATTTCTATAGTGGCATTATTATATATTCTGTCCCTTTCCTATGAGTTCCTAGCCGCCTGGTAGCCTTTTTGACCACAGCGAGCACAAGTTTTCCGAGAACTATCCGCGGTGACGCCAAGGTCTTGCTTGAGGGGTAAGAGCTAATGTAGACACCGTCGTACGTACAGCTGGGATTGTTTTCCAATGTGCGTTACTTTGCACTTATCAACGGTGAATGTCATCTGCCGTTTTGGCACCCACTTGCGTGAGATCCCTTTGCCACTCTTCTCAGGCAGCTTTGGCCTTCGCTATCTTGAATAATTTCATTTGAGCTGCCAACGTTGCCACTTCACCTCCTTTTCCAGATCACTTATGAATGTTGGCCAGCACAGGTCCTAGTACAGATCAGTAGGGGGATCCCACTATTTACCTCTCTGCACTGTGCAAACGGACCACTTTTTCCTACCCTTTTCCTAGCTTTTACCAGTTACTGATCCATAAGAAGACCTTCCCTCTTATCCCATGACTTCTTAGTTTCCATTAGGTGCGGGATCTTGTCCAAGCCTTTCTGAAAAGCAACCCATACAGGGTAGCTAAAATCCCCTTCTCTTACCTAAGGTCTCAAGAAATTGTGCTCATTCCCATTTTGGGGAAACTGAGGCACGGGGAGAACTAGGGGCTTGCCCCACACCTAGACTTGCTTTCCCAACACCCTCCTTCCCCTGCCCATTCAGGTCAACTGGCCCCCAAGGCCAGCTAGCCTGCGTTCAGTCCCTGCTGGGCCTGGTTACGGCCAACCATCCTACAGCGGGGGGATATGGCGGGCTTGCAGCAGCGGGGTGGTTTCCAGTCACATGTAGTTGCCCGTGGGCCCCGGCCAGCTGTGCACCATGTGATCATCTCGAAATGTCACTCCTTGCCCCGGGAAGCTCACAGGCTGCGCTGGTTCTGAGCGGCTCTTGCGAACGGACGCGGAGCCGTTCCTGTGACTAGGAGCACCCTCCCGTGGGACTGGGGCCAGGACCAGAGCCTTCAAAAGGAGTCGCCAAACTCCTCCTCCCTTGGGGTGGGAGTCACGGCCGTGCAAAGTGAACTAAAGCGTGAATGCTCTTGTTTGTATTCGCCAGGAGCCCCAGCGGCGCACCGTGTCCCAGCGCGCCAG